TGTGAGAGCCCAAATTGAATTTCCAAATGAATGTTTCCATCTAAAGTGTAGGAGATGTATCCGCAACGCATTTATCGCATTTGATCCTTAATGGCTGCCTCCCTCATTACTTTCGCTTGCTCTGTTAGCTTTGTTGATTCAGGCGTATTGATAGCATGCATATGAGATTGTACAAAGCCAATTATAATAAATTAAAATGCCAAATGTTAAGGGATGGCACTCATCAGAGTGAAGTTATTTTGACACCGCACTCTTGAAATCCCGTCGTCCACCATCCCTGTAGAGCTAACCACGGCTCTTGTCCAAAGGAGTCAGTCGCTGCTTGTGGACATGGTGGATCATTTGATCATCAGTACAAATAATTTATTTATGTCAAATGGCAGGCGTCTTGATGGTTATCATTAGCTCTTTAGTTGACTTCAGGCTTCACAGAGGGGAAGAAACATCAAATTTAAAAAGTCGAGAGGGGGGGGGGGAACAGAAGAGTGTTTCAAAGATGTAAGAGACAAACACGAAGGTAGAACAAAGGTGAAGTGAGTACAGTGAAATATTCGAATATGGCATAGAGTGAGGTGATGGGAGTTTGAAGTGAGAAGTCAACTGCCGATCAATAGACTTTTTTGCCGTATGAATATACGTTGCCCAGGGTGCACCACATGGAGTTAAGTCTATCGCACACTCTCAGTACAAATAATAAAGGAAAGATAATTTATTAAATTGACAAGTCGAAAATATTTATTTATATCAAATGGCAGGCTTTATGATAGCTCTCATTAGTCCTTTAATGGATTTCGGACTTCACAGAGTTTAGAAACATTAAAGTCACAAAAAGTCGAGAGGGGGAGGGGAACAGAAGAGTGATTCACAGATGTAAGAGACAGACAAGAACAGAAGAGCGTTTCACAGATGTAAAAGAGGCAGACAGGGAAACAGAAGAGCGATTCACGGATGTAAAAGAGGCAGACAGATGACAGAAGAGTGATTCACAGATGTAAGAGACAGACAGAGACAAATGTAGATAGTAGGGTAAGGTGAGTGCTGTGAAAGTGCTCGAATATGACATACATTCGGGTCATGATAGTTTGAAGTGAGAAATCGACTGCTGGTTTATAGACTTATTTGCCGTATGAGTATACGTTGCCCAGGGTGCACCACGTGAAGGTAAGTTTACCGCTCACCCCACAAGTCCTATATTTAAACTAGAAGGAATAATCATTCAGCAGTACTTACAATTCGAACTCTATTTTGTGTATATATAGCCTATTTTAGACATTGATGCTTAATAAGCTGCTTTCCTTGAGTGCGTATAAATTGATTGATTTCCCCAAATCTTGGAAAATTGCCAATTATAAAAAGCACTCTCCTGCAAATTTACGACATGCTATTACGAAATGCTTGCGGCATTGTAAAAAGCGCATCCACTCCAAGCAGTTATAGCAGCTAAAACTCAAGATTGAATTTTCTTGCCCGCTTACAGGCACTTTAGCCCTAAAACGGCCTCTCCCTACGCACTCCAAGTGAGTGATAGCGAAATTCCTCGCAATATTGCATTATTTAAAGCGAATAATAGGCGGGTTTGGAGGTCGATTCTTTTGAGCTGTAGGCCTCCAAGCAGAGGCAAAGCTGACGGAACGTTGTCTATGGAGGGCTTTCCAAGACACTTTATGTGGTTGTATGTGAAACAATGATTGAAATATGTACCCTCAACCAAAATATGAACCTTTAATTATGATGTAAATGACACGATTTCTAGATTTAGCGAATTAAACAAAGCATGCATTTATTTATTAATATCAAATGACAGGCGTTTCAATAGTTCTCATTAGCCCTTTAGTTGACTTCAGGCCTCACAGAGGGGAAGAGGAACATCAAAGTGAAAAAAGTCGAGAGGGAGGGGGGAACAGAAGAGTATTTCAAAGATGTAAAAGTGACAGACACAAAGGCAGAGAAAAGGTGAGATGAGTACTGTGAAAGTAGTCGAATATGACACATTGTAGGGTGATAGTAGTTTGAAGTGAGAAGTCAACTGCCAGTTAATAGACTTTTTAGAAGTATAAGTATACGTCGCCCAGTGTGCATCACGTGGAGGTGAGTCTAACGCACACCCCACAAAGCATACATTAGCACTTTCACTTGGGAACTTCCTTAATTTTTACCCTACTGTTTATTTCCGGTTATCGTGTTGGAGAATTGGTAATTGAAATTCAATCCTCTGTGTTGAAATTTCGGCGGGTTTTTCCAATTAACTTTTTCAATAAGTGAGGTGAGATAGAGACTAATATTTATTCTTAAAAGTTCTACTGGGGTTAGAAGGAGTAGATATGTCCCTAAACCGTAACTGAAGTATCAAAAGTTGCGTTGTGAATTCGACGGCACTAGAGGAGACAGATGAAAAATTTCCATTAGACCCTTCACAAATGTGCCTCTACCTTAAAAGAGTTTTGAGCGGCATTTGGGTGTATGCTTCATCCTCCAATCTGATGAAATTGAAGTGAATGGGAGGTGCCCATCGGTGTTGACACCTAAACTTCAAATAACTGTTCGCAAAGCGCTAAGAGCTGAAGTGTCATAGATAAAGGTGCCCTAAGCAGAGTTAAGACCGTAGGGTAAATATATTTTGTTAAAACCAGACATCTTTGCCTAGCACTATCTCTTTTCCCCAACAGTGAATACAATGCACACCAAATTCCGCAACCGTTGTTTAAATAAACTCAATAAATACAATTCTATAGTAGCTGCAGTCAAGTTCAAATTCCAGTAAAAGTGGTTAATTTGCATTCTCCAATGCGGTAAGAACTTGAAGACGCGAAACCTCTCCAACAACTGGCGCATTCTATGCGTAAAAATTAATGCTAAAGTCAACTTGATGTCCACGAATAGGGACGACTTTTCTGCTTAAGATAGTCGTCCAAAGGGAGTCCGTTTATGCTATTATGTCACTTTTCAGAACGTGACGGTGCAGTGGACACGTCTAAAACTGGGGGGGGGGGGGGGGGGGGGGGGGGGNGGGGGGGGGGGGGGGGGGGGGGGGGGGGGGGGGGGGTTGAGATGAAGATTAACCTCTCGCCTCCAAATTTCAATCCTTGTCGGTTTTTTAGTGCCTCCGATTAATTTGACTATTCCGCAAACGGAAAAGACTGCCCTGAGCGATTTCTAATGGCCTTCATTTCTGGAGAAAAAAATGCATTTACAGCAGAGCTAATTTGAGCCACGACAAACCAAGTGCTAGGTACCACCAAGCGTTAATTGGACAATTCGTATTGAATGAGAAGGAGTAGGAACTTGAAGTATTAGGGAGGGGGGGGGGAGGGGGGAAGAGACGGGTTGGACAACCCGCAGCATGGAGTAAAGCCACATTTAGGAACGACAATACAGTTGTTTGATTTCGCTATCTTTATTCATTAATAGTTGAAGCAAAGGTATGAGTCATAAGGTGTGTTTCATACATGCTACTCAGATGGTTATTAATTACTAAAACACTGCCTAAGAAATTCCAGCTGTGTGGTGTTTCAAACAATGGTATAAAACCTAGTAGTGCTTTTGATGTTACATGAGCTGTTGAGTTCAGCTCCGGTTGAAGTGCCTATAAGTAGAAAATAAGGTATGCTGTGAGATCTAAGTGGTTGAATTGTTTGAGAAAAGGGCCATGTTACAAGTGAAACTTTAACAATTTCGAAGTTTTCCTTTTATTAAATGGCACCAACTTGTAGAATTTTATGCCCAAACTTCAGCTGTGTAAAGGGTGCCCACACGCGCAACACTTCTTTTAATAGGTCAACCCCCTTCTTCAATTATGATCTTGACGACGTAGAGAATGGATGATCGGAGCCCACATGAATCATGGTGGAGGGTAATTTGTATTATGATGAATCACGCCAGCCATCAAACTAGGGAGATCATGATCCCTGCTCGATCATCCCTGAAAAGGGTGAAAAGAACTCAACGTGAACAGGAGAATTTTAAGTGGACGGTGAGTCTGTTGTGCCTAGAAGGAAACGGCGGAACTGACGACATGAACAGATTGCGCTGGTACAGCAGATTTCCTCGAATATCTGGCCACTAACAACATGCTGGAGTACTCTAGCAACCGGAGCTTTACCAACGCAGTTACTTGAATTTTGCAGCCTCTACCATGAAGCTTGAACGAATCATATCAAAGAAGAGGGGATCAAATGCTCGCATAAAAGTAAAAAAATTGAGTAAAGTGAAATATTTTGTTTAAGAACAAGCAATTTGGTCCTTTGTTAGTGAGAAAAAAATTTTTTTTCATGGTTTAAAGCAAAACACGTAGAACATGGATGATTCGGTTTGCATGGAGTCCAAAGGACACTTCTTAAGTAGCTTTCGAATACGTGTAGGTGACATGGAACGCCTTCCTCCTCATATTTTTTTTCAAAGAGAAAGTTAGTTTGAATTCAGATGTCTGCGTGGATACGTTGACCACCTATCAAAAGACGACCGAGTTCCCGATCTATTTTTCGATCTCCCATGCAAAAGAAGGTTGATAAATCTGATCATAGTGATCAGCACAGTTTAGTTGCGATTTCTCTGATACGAGGCAAATAGGTAACGCCACTTTAGCATTGTCTACCTGTTATGTTTAACACAACAGTGATTTAATGCTTCCAATTTTATTGCGTGTAACCCCACATTAAGAGAAAAAATAGAATATTAGAGTAAGGTAATAGCAAAAAAATTGATTTTTTTATATTGCTCTAAGGCTTGCTTTTCTTTTTGAACCTATTTCTGCTCGTCGCTACAAATTTCAAGAGGAGACGGCATGCTGAAACTCGTGCTAATACGTCATGTGCCTGTCATCAATAGGAGGGAATTTGATTGGCCCATTTACCTCATAGGCCACTTATTTTGGCCAACCAGAATGCACCATCTACTTATAGGTGTAATTTGTGGAAGAAGTTCATGTTTTAGCTATAACCTCACCTGTTCTACCTTGACCACAGGATGCCCTAAGGCACTCTCGCTGAAAAATCAATATAATTATGAAACACTCCTTCATCAACCTCCGTTTACTCATTGTTTTATCTCTGCAACTTATTGTATCTATTGATGGAAAAGGATTCCACAAACGATCCTCGCTTGAAACCCTCCATGCAGAGCTGTCTGTAGTCGAAGAACAGAGCGTGGATTCTTTCAGTGAAAACTTGGACGCTGTAGCTCTTCAAGCACTTGAGCGTGCTGGCATTCGATTTTCTGACATTAAGGCCATTCAAATAACCCTTCTGGAGCCGAATCCATACTTTCGGATTTGCCCTAATGAAGCCCTTAATTCAACCTTCCTCTGTCTCAAGAAACGAATTGATAGAGAGATGCTCTGTCCCACTGAAGGTATCTGCTGTCCACGGTTTCAACATCCTGGAAAATATTTTGATTCCATTCCATCATCTTCCGGTGAAATTCGACCAGACGATTGCGTAATTTCATTAATTCTGATGGTTGATTTTATAAGCGCTTTTGAGAATGCAAGGCAACAGCGTCTTCTATCTCTATCAATTCGAGTGCTAGATATAAACGATCACGCTCCAGCTTGGAAACTTCAAAGATCTCAAAATCAAATGAATAGGCAGTCTTCTGATTCCAATCAGTACAGCTCACTTATCCCGGTGCTTATTCTTCCAATTCGAGAGAATGCTAAAAGTGGAACAAAGATTGAATTACCGGAAGCTTTAGATCCTGATGCATATCCTGAAAATACAACAGTAAATTACGGGATTGAATCGGATGTTGGTGGTCTGTTCTCCCTCGAATGGACTGGAAAGTCCAGAACGGTAACAAACTTCCTTGAACCTAAAGCTGCTCAGGACAAACTTTGGCTGGTGCTGAATAAAGAACTCAATCGGGACGAGCAGAAAACACATCAAGTGAAAATTTTTGCTGTAGATGGAGGTGCTGTTAAGCCGAAGACAGGTTATTTGCTGCTGAATATAACCATTGAAGATGTGAACAATCATCCGCCCAAGTTCAAGAAGCACGAAGATTTTGTGTGGGTTCTTGAGCACAGTCCCATTGGAAGTGTAATCTATCGACTAAGAGCAAGTGATCAGGATGAATCTGACATTGACAAGCTGAGATACTCTCTTTCTTCCTCTGTCACCACTCAAATAGCGAGCCTTTTTGTTGTTGATAAACGAACTGGTGAGATACGAGTTCAAGGCGAACTTGATTACGAAAAAGTCACTTCTTACACACTTTCTGTCACTGTCACCGATGGACTGCACTTTGATGACGCTGTTATAATTATCGGAATACTGAATATCAACGATCACCCTCCCGTTATTACTCTTCATTCTCATTTGACTGCTAATTCTAGGTATCACTTATATGACGCGCATCATCGGGTTTCTGGATCACAGTTGACTATTGAAGTTGGCGAAAATGGACCACCAGATCAGTTGATTGCTACTTTTACTGTCACGGATGGAGATGACTCTGCTGAGGCCAGATTTCTGCAAACCCCTTCCCCCATTCGAGACGCTTTCCTACGAGCTAATGATATCAGTCTGCAGGATGCCACTGAACGGATAAAAAAGCCACCTCGATGCAAACTTAATACTGAGTTAATGGAAATTGAGCTTCTCAGCTTAGATAGCAGATCACACAAAGCGAGGTTTCAACTACGTCTCGCCAAGAAACCCCTTGATCGAGAGGTGTCGGCGAAGTATCTTATTCGGATTGAGTGTTGGGATCAAGCTAATAGATTTGGAAATCATATTCTTACCCAGAGTAACATGGTCGGTTATAGAAATTCCTTTTCCCGATCTACTAGTGCTACCTTTACACTTGTGGTCACAGATGAAAATGATTCCATACCAAAATTTAACGGACCTCTCGTTGGAACCATTGCTGAAGGCCAACCGATTGGGACTCTCATTAATCAAATTTCTGCCACAGATGCAGACGACCCCTATAATATGAATGGACAAGCCGGATTGCGGTATTCCATCATTGGTGAACCGGAAATTACCTACGCCTTTAAGTCTACTTCTTCTAATGCAACTTTTGCTGCTAGTTCTACTGATACTTCCTCCTGGTTTACTCTTGATTCGAGATCAGGTGAGCTTCGATCTGCAGTAGTTTTTGACCGAGAAGTTGTTGCTGCTTTCAATCTTAATATTAGTGTTACTGACGGTGGGGAGGAATCAAATTCAAGTATTAAACATAATAGTGCCTTCACAACTATGCACATTACTGTTTCGGATGTTAACGATTGTCAACCAACGTTTGACAAACTTGTCTACCAATTTAATATCAGTGAAGGTGCAACTCCACCGCTTCTTATTGGAAAGATACAGGCAAACGACTGTGATGCAGATGAAATCAACCGTCGGCTAAACTACTGGCTTCAACAACAACCATCAAATTCTAGCTCAGCTGGAAGATGGTTTACTGTCTCACGCAATGGCGAACTCTACCTCGGTTCAAAGGGAGCCAGTGATGGAAAGGTACATGATTGGAGACCTCTGGACCGTGAAAAGGAGGAACTCATTGTCTTAGGAGTTATCGCGAGGGATCATGGTCAACCATCGCTAACTGGATCTGCACAGGTGATTATCCGCCTCCAAGATATCAACGACAATTCGCCAATTTGGAATTTCCCAAAGCCAAACGAACGAGTTGTCAACATTTCCCTCGATGCTTCTGTGGGCCAGAGAATAGCTGAGGTGAGTGCCCACATCTATATTTTGTCTTGCTAAATGAATTTAAAAGCTTCATTTAACGAATTCTTCCTCCCTCCATTTTCATGCGTTCACTTTTTCTGTTTGTCACGCAACGTTTTTTTGCCCTTTCTAAAGAGGGTTAGGCAAAAAACGATAGCACATGGTGTCATCCCCACCCGTTTATTCTACTTTTTTTCAAAATTTAATGTATTGATCAAGTAGAAGGGGCAAAACCGGGTATTTTAGCATCCAATTTGTCCCTTTTTTCCCCATTAAATATTACCCCAGAAATAAGGCTCTGGGACAGGAGGATTCTACCTCCTTTTTTGTTTTACCCTAAAGGAGACTTATAATGGATTTCTGGGTGCTTCAATTTATCCCTCAGTGTAAAAAAAGCTCTCCGCTTCTTCTTCTTCGGTTTGGAGTGCCTTCTTCCCGCTTACTCCTTTCCTATCTTTCCTAACCTTTCTTCCCCCCCCCCCCCCCCCCCCCCACCCCCATGAATATTCATACTCACATGTGTGTGTAGAGCAAATTGAGCTTTCTCAGCCTGCACCCTCCTCTGATTGGAGTTTTCCCTCTCAACAACCCACGTTATTCACGCTACTTGTGAAAAATGAAAATTATAGTCCCGGAAAGTGAGATATTTTGGACAGGTGGGAAATTCTGAAACCGTGTTTAAAATGCTCCTTATATATATATATATATATATACTATATCAAATGGCAGGTTTTTTTAATATCTATCCTTAACCCCTTAGTTTACTTTGGCCTTCACAAGGGGAGTGGGTGGAGGAGCATTTATGTAGGCTTTAGGATAGTGAACAGTAGCTCATTATTTGACTTCTGGCTGCCAATTATCTCTGGGTTTCTGTCGTTGCCTTTTGGGTTGGAGACTGAATCGGGTGGGACTTCTCCATTTCCTCCTGTAGGCCACATAGAGGGCATGTTGGTTGGGCGAACACTCCTATTCTGTGAAGGTGCTTTGCTAGGCAATCGTGCAACAGCTTCGATTCTTGGTCAGTGGGCTATATATGTTAGAGTGCCACTGTCCTCTGTTCCTCCTTTTTTCAGACTTTATGTTCGTCGCTTCTTGAAGTCTTGAATTCTCTCCTGATAAAGTTCTTCATTGTGTATGAAGGTTAAGGCAAGTAGTGAGTGATATCAACTTGATTTCTAAACGCCTTGAAATACTTGCATGTGGAGTTCAAAGTAAAGCCTATTGATTGCAGAATGGGGCCTTCTCAAATGATAGAAATCGAATTCAAACGAAGGTGGGAGGGGAACTCATGCCTTACTCATCTGTGCTCAGCAGGGAACTATTTACCTACTTAATTTGGCACAGCCTTCGTTTTGCCCTACCTCACATAAGTTGATTTTGGTCACGAATAGAAGTGACATGGAATAAAGCAAAAAAATAAGCCACCTTCTATGGACATCGTGACTGTCACTCAAGTTGGAACCGTTAAAACAGCACTTTTATCGCCATTTTAATAAATCCAATCTCATTCATTCAATGCTTTAAATTAAAATAAAATGTTCAATTTCTTATTTATGCATGCACCGAAATTTAAATTTGTAATACAAGGAAACTTCTATAATAGACTGAAACGAAAAAATCATGAATTTAGGCTCAATTAGAGGGAGGTAGGTAATCCAATGTATTGAACGCTCTGTTTTCTTTTCATAATATCCAAATGTCATGAGTTGATTCTCAATTTTATTGGTGACCTCATGTCAAAAAATGTTTACACCTAGGTAGTCAGTTGATTTAACTTCGTTTTTTAATCATCTTAAATTGATTTATTCAAACCACAAGGCAGTCAAAAAAGAAGATGTATTTTTCAAATTGAATCCATTTCCTTAATTTCTTAGCATTTGGGAATAATGCCTGGAATCTAAATTTGCAAATTTGTCCACTGACCCCGCTTAATTAAGCTAAAATTTCAGTTAATTATTTCCTCATCTCCACGTTAATGCGTTTCTTTAAACATTTTTATCGCTATATCCATTTGTTGTGCAAAGTTCTAGCGTCCCATTTGAACTTAACTTTGTCCCTATTAGGAAAGGCGCCTAGTTCATTAATTGAAAAAGCCCCGCGGTACATTTAAATGTCAACAAGCGGAAACCTGATAGGGCGAGAGGAGATAGGCGCGTGCTTATTGGAGTGCTGGTTCTAACTTGTATTCATTTCAGACCATTCGCACTTAATTGCTTTGTAACTCCAATTTCTTCAATTTAATTCAACTAAGTCCTCACCCCCCCCCCCCACTCCCCACTCCTCCCT